CCGGAGGCTCTTAAGTTTAGGATTTGGGGTTCAGAGTTTTTGAAGTTTGGGGTTTGTCAGGTGTTCATTGTAAGCAGAGTTAGGCTTTAGGGGGCTTGGGATGGCAGCTATGGTCGGAGCATAAATCTCAGCTTCCATGGCATGCTCCTTTAAAAACGCCTAAACACTAAACCTTCGCACCCTTAAACCTTGAACCCTCCTAAACCCTGTCCTAAACCCCAAATCCTCCTAACCCCTAAAAACACTGATTGCAGGCCGTAGCAGGTGTCCGGACCTTGAAGTTCGCTTGTCCTGAACGTCCGGTGACGTGGGGATACGCGGATTTCCCAAAATAGGTAGACCTTCTACGGGGATATAGGTTTGCATGGGCGTTATAGGCTTGAGGAGTCTATGGCTTCAAAAAAAAAAGGGGTAAGGATTGTAGTATATGGTGACTATATTGAGGGTCGCCCTATTCAGAGAAAGTACCAAATGTCGCGAAGCATTGGGGTTTTGGGTTCTAGGGTTTAGGTTTTTAGGTTTTAGGGTTCGAGGATGACTCACGGAATCCCAGAATCCCAAACCAAACCTGCAACCTAAGTCCTAGGGTTTAGGGTTTAGGGATCCTTGTGGAAGCCTACAACTTGGGTCATTCCCCCTTACAGTAACTGTTACGACAATGGGTTCTAGGAGTTCTAAGAGCCCCCTTAATGAGGCCCCTTTTAGGACAGCTACTGGGAGGGGGAACGACCCAACCTACAACTGTTTGTGCAATCCTGAGCTTCACTGACTCAGCCAGCCGAGAGAACCTGCGAATCAAAAAGTCTGTCACAAGCCTAATACCTACACGTGTAGACACCTTCCGCCCAGTACTGCTCGAGAGTGACCTCTACATTGCCCCAAAACCCCATGTATCCCGTGCGCAGAATGTAGGTGTTGGCAGCAGGAGATTCGCAGAATGGATACTGGAAGATTGTGACCCAATGACATGGACATGGTAGCAACCTCATCCAAACCTTTAACCCTAAACCCTAAACCGATCTAAACGAGAATGCCAACCCGCCCTACCTCCGTTGCAGAAAGCTCTAGCGTCTCATAGAAGTAGTCCATGTTTGAATTTTCCTATAGTCTTTTGGGGATTGTTTCTGTGCACCATATACCCAATGCTGTAGAACCCTACTTATTCTGTAACCCTAAGGGTCCAAGTACCTAATAGTCATATACTTATCCCAAACCTGTGTCATAATTACTATTACCCAAAACCTGAGTACCTGATTATTGGGTACATGTACACTCTGGGTAAGTGCCCTCAGCCCTAGACCTACCATAGACCCCCATATATTAAGGAGTTTAGACTATGGCTCATATAGTATGCCATACTACTCCACTAAAGGCTCATTCTGGGTCAAGTAAAGCTAGTTAAGGTGGGAACCTACGGGGTAGTGGACGCAGAACTGCACATTACGTGGGCCCATATCCTGTAATAGGCGTATACTAGGAATATAAGAAAGCCCCAACCCTGAACCCTAACCCTAAACCCTAATCATCCCTTACAGTCACCATTGCTGGGAAGGGGGTCCGCCTAAACTATACAGTTTCCATTTTTTCTCCATTACCCCAATACAATCCCTATTATAATATAGTAGTTTCCATCTTATTTTCCATTACCCCAATATAATCCTTACTATAATATAGTAGTTTCTATTCTATTTTCCATTACCCCAATATTATAATCCCTATGATACTATAGTAGTTTCCATTGAATTTTTCACTATCCCGATTCTAGTGCTCCCCAAGGCCTTCGGCTCCTTCTGTGCTTCCTGCGCTCGCCGAAGCACGGGAGCTACGCCCGCCTCCACTCATGGAATGCAGGTATGCAGAGAAGCCTGATAATGATCAAGATCCTTTTTAGGTCTATCTGAAATACCCGATGCCATAATACTACGAGGAATCTAGGACCATAATGCTGGCAATTATGCCTATTAATCACCAATATAACCCCGGTTTCCATTTCATGTCCATGTTCTTTTCCATTTTGATTGCCCGCTATTGGGGCAGTATTGGTATTTGCTTAGGCCCCCGCATCCGATTTCAGGATTTGGCAGGTGGTGGTTTGGGGCTTCGACTGATGGGTGCATGTGTAGTGGTGGGTCTGGGGATGTAGGTTTAGGGCTTTAGGGTTTGAGCTTAGGATTTCAAGGTTCGGGCCTTGTGAGATACTACCATGCGCTGTTAAGAGCTCCTGCAGTGTTTGCGCAGTTGAAAATAATTGAATCAAGGAATGTGGATGGGAGTCGCATAAGGGGGAAGCCCATAGCTAAGGACTCCCAAATTTAAGGCCCCCCTCAGGCTCCTTAAGGTCTCTTGACAAGGGACCCCCTTATCTGGAGCCCTTGCACAGCTTTCTCCACGGAAGGCTTACCACGAAACGGGATGAGGGAAAGGTTTTTGCCCAGTTTTCCCTTTCTTCGGGCTTTGCTCGCACAGGCTTGTTGGCCTTTGTTCTGTGATCACTTAATCCCTACATCGTGAGGCTTAAACCCTATTAAAACCCAAGCCTCCTTGTCCTACTCCTTCTTCCTAAGCCTAGAGGACATTTGAACAAGCTACACACTCTCAGCCCTAGACCATGTGAAATGTAACGGTAAGGGGCCAGCGCTTGTCGCAATCACGAAGATCGTAACAAATTATGTCTTGGAACTTGGTGACTACATGAAGGGATGTTGAGAACTGCAGGCAATCGACCTAAAACTCAACGCCAAGGCCCTGAACCCTAATCCCAAAACATGGAATCTGAAGCCCAACCAACGACTCTACACTCAAATCCCGAAACCCAAACCCCTAAACAGCACTTCTCTAGATGCAAGCTTTCATGTGAGTTTGCTAGGGTCAAGGCTCCTGAAACCCTACTACTCCTTGCACAAGAGTCAGTACTAATGCTTTCAGCTCCCATTTTGTCCTTACACAGCGGGTGCTGCTAGAAGGATTCGGGTTGCAAAGCCTGCTAGGGCTCACATCACATACTGACGATGAAAAATGGAGTCAAAACGATATTCATGAACATGCGATGAATGATACTAAGTCTGACAACACGGACGGTAATACTCTCATCAAGTAAAGAAGCCGTAGCAGCGGGGATGTCAGAAATTTTGCACCAGCTCTAAACCTCATACCGAACGAACGACAGCAAGTTGGGGGGCAAGATTTCCTGTATGCATTCTATATACTTTAGGAGGAACCCCCACCCTGTCATAGTGGTATAATAGGAATATAAGAGGACCCTAATATAATCCCTAAAGTCCACTATATTCACTATTACTGGGTGGGGGGTCCACCCCTAAACCCTAAACCCTAAACCCTAGCTTGGATCCCCTAAACCCTAAAGCAACCCCAGCTCGGCTTTCATCCGCCTGCGCTCGGCCTTCTGCGAGCTTGGGTGCTTTTGGCGAGACCTTCGCACTTGTTTCTAAAGATTCGGGTTTAAGGTGTAGAGTATATGGGAGGCTTGGACTGCGGAAACTACAAGCTTCCCTTTTGCCCGAACATCCGCCCCTGTTGTTGGAAACCTCATTTTCTCAGAGTTGGCTTTCCGGCCAGGCTTGAGAGGGCACCTGGGCCCCTCTTCAAGATGGCCATTTGCTACTGAGTTGCCTTTTAAGGAACTTAATTCAAGCTACCACATTATGGGTAAATAGAAAATGATAGGGGTACCTTCTGTTAAAGAAATTCTTTAACAGCAACTGGGGCTAGGTATGCTAGGGGCATGCTAACGTTTTAAACCTCAACGGTGAAACCCATATACGCTGAACCCCATATACCTGATGCCCAGCATGTATGTGCGCCGCAATACCCCTAGGCCTCCACACTGCGGCCAGCATGACAAGAGCTACTCTTAAGTACGCCTTATGAACAGGGGTTTAGGGTTCAGGCTTTAGGGTTTGGGTTTAAGGGTTTAGGGTTTAGGCTTTAGGCTTTAAGGGTTTACGCTTTAGGTTTTAAGGTTTAAGGGTTTAGGGATTTAGGGATTTAGGGGTTTAGGGTATAGGGGTTTAGGGTATAGGGGTTTAGGGTTTAGGGTTTAGGCTTTAAGGGTTTAGGCTTTAGGCTTTAGGGTTTAAGGGTTTTGGGTTGAGGTTTCAGGCTTTAGGGTTTAAGGGTTTAGGGTTGAGGGTTCAGGCTTTAGGCTTTAGGGTTTAGGCTTTAAGGGTTTAGGCTTTAGGGTTTAAGGGTTTAGGGTTGAGGGTTCAGGCTTTAGGGTTTAAGGGTTTAGGGTTTAGGGTTTAGGCTTTAAGGGTTTAGGCTTTAGGGTTTAAGGGTTTAGGCTTTAGGGTTTAGGGTTTAGGCTTTAAGGGTTTAGGCTTTAGGGCTTGGGATTTGGTATTTAGGATTTGGGGCTTGGCAGGTGCAACTTCCGTATGCCTATTCGGATATGTGAAGCCTACCTATATACATGCAATACACATGTGTATATGTAAATATATATATATATATACATATGAGCCCTGGGCTAAATTTGTAGCATATCCGTTAATAGGTCCCCCCAAACCCCTGTATAGTCCCCTATAGGTCCCCCCCAACCTTAATTTCGTCCGTAGCTCATACATTAGCCATGGGGGCGTAGGGCTCAGAGTCAAAAAAGCCCTGCAGGCATGTTTACGGCCTGTGGGTTAGGGGACTTTTAGGGGCACATGATATATAGAGCTTGTTGTCAGGAACGCCCTTTACTATGACTCATAATCCTGACAGCCCAACCTCAACCCTAAACGCTGATCTCTCATCCCATATAATTCTATATCTCCACAAGTGCCTATAGTGCCCATTAAGTTGATAGGCTATCGGGTACCTGGGGATCTTATTATGCTTGTGGGTTAAACCATGTTCTATCTACTTCAGGTGGACTACATACCCACATTTCTTAAAACCTGTGATCTCAGGCAAACGCATGGGATGCTTCGCGGGAAGGCTGGCCGACTCGCCGCCGCTTCACAGGCACCTCGAGCTGGAGAAAACAAATTTGGGGATTTTGGGCTTGGGGTTTGGGGCTTGGGGCTTAGAGTTTGCGGTTTGGGGCTTAGTGTTTGGGATCTGGGTTTAGGGTTCAGGGCTTCCTGTTGCGTGCCCCTGGAACCCATCTACAGGAGGCTTGGGATTCTAGAGGCCGGGATCTACTTGAAATGGATGTTTCCTACATGGGGCTACTTACTGGATTGCTACCAAGGAACTTATTTTAAGTTACCATACTATGGGTATATGAGAAATAGTAAGGTTTCCTTAATCTCAGCTCCTTAACAGCCCCTCAGACTACCCTCAAGGGACTACCAGCATAGGGAAGCGACAACGAAATGATGATGGAATAACTGGAAGGCCCGACTCAAGGATTTAGAAGGGATGAATTCGGGAGATTCTCAACAGCAACCCTACATTCCCTGCGCAATCCCCATATATGGTGCTTTCCCAAAATATTAGGAGAGCCTAATATAGACCCTATTATACGATCCTGCCTATTTTCCTCCCTAATTTTGGGGACCCTAACCCCTAGATATTCCTTATGAAACCCCTATATATACTAAACCCTAAACCCTATACCCCTACAACCCCTTTA